AGCTACGTAACTTTTAGACTGAATAATATAATTTCCTCTCTAATTGACATTCTACATCAAACTATAATAGGCACTGAACAGTATTTCAATGTGAAATGTTTTTTATTTTGTTTATATATGTACTTCAACAGCCTCTAGCAGATGCATATGGGCTGCTTATGCATAGAAATGGTCAGTGGGAGTGGACTCTTGCGCCTGGAGTGTCCCCTTCACCAAGGTATCAGCATGCTGCGGTAAGTAGATGCTACAGCTATTGAACATAAGACAATTTTTATAGGCCTGCATCACCATTTTTTTTTTTGCTTTGAAAACAGTCAGCCTGATATTTGCTTTCTACCAGGTTTTTGTTGGCGCACGATTGCATGTTACTGGAGGTGCTCTTAGAGGAGGACGTGCAATAGAAGGTGAAGCAGCTGTCGCAGGTAAGCTTTTGCTTGTCATCTTGAAATAATTGTCTGAAGAGTGCATATCGTGCATATCTCAAGTAAGTTTATTTCCAATATTCTCTCTGTTTTGTAGTACTGGATACTGCTGCTGGAGTATGGTTGGACAGGAATGGGCTTGTTACTTCCTCACGGAACACTAAGGGACATGCTGAATATGATCCATCTTTAGAACTTATGCGTCGTTGTCGCCATGCATCTGCATCTTTTGGTGTTCGAATATATATTTATGGTGGTCTTAGAGGAGGTAAAGATAGTAAAGTCTGTTCTGGAAATAGTGTAGATGGACTTGTCTCTGGTGAACTGGTTTCATCTTGACTAATTTAGGTAGAAGTAAAAAACGAATTAATGTTAAAGTTTTGGGAAGTTTGACTGCAATAATAAATGCTGTTGTAGTTGGCTAAAGTAGAAGTACTGCATGTGGAGAAGGCTTAATACATAAGCCCTACCCCTTTAGTTGTCAATTTTTACATTGCCATACGGCAAAAGAAGTTGGCATGTATGAATACGAAGGACCATATTGATAAGTGTGTGTGCAATCAATGTGAATTCAATTACTTTTCCATGCCCTTTGTTTTCACTAGATTGACTGAAACAACAATTTGTTTTGAAAATTTACTTTTCTACACGAAACCATTGTAGAACAGTTTCTTTATGTTTGCTCAGGGTCATTACTGCAGCAGTTAGCTTTGGTTGGTTTGCTGCAGAGGAAACTGCTGTGGGACTGTATGGGCAAATGGAACAGAGGAAGACATGGGTCTCTGTTTATTTGGCTCATGTGTATCAAACACATCAATGTAGATTCATGTGACTTGTAACTCTCGGGCCATTGTAAATGCATGCTTAAAAGAAAGAGTTGTGTCTGAAATTATGCATACATTTCTCTCACAGCTGTGTTATATCTCTGCTCTTTGTAGTGACAATGTCCTGGCTTGCTTTTGATTTTATATGTCAGAGTGAAAGTAATAAATTTAAATTGTTTATCTAATCCTGTTTGTTCATTTTCTTTATTTTTTATTTTTTTTTCTTTCTTTGGGTACACTTTATGTTCCTTTTCTTTTCTTTTGTTGTTTTTTTAGGGGGGTATACTATGTGTCAATTTCATGTCTTTTGGGTGATTACATGATTAGTTATTTTATTTTCTGCAGATATGCTGTTCGATGATTTCCTAGTTGCTGAAAATTCACCGTTCCAGTCTGACATTAATTCTCCTATATTAACCGCTGAGCGAGCCTCGAATTTGTCCAGTCCCAGATTTAATCAACCTAATTTCAGTTCATTTGGAACAACACCGACATCAGATGATGGTTCAGAGTTCCCTTCATCTGGGAGTTTGAGGTCTGACTCAATAACTCTCTCTCTCTCTCTCACACACACACCCCACACCCACACCCACACCCACACACCTACCATGGGAGTATTAATTGAAGATTATTCTTTACCTTATAGCATGGACAAAAGTTCGATGGAGAAACTAATGGAGGCTTCTGCTGCTGAGGCTGAGGCAGCAAATGCTGTCTGGCAAGCTGCACAGGCTGCATCTGCTGTTCCAGCAGAGGAAACATCTGTATCTGATGACAACTCACCTGCTGCTGAAACAGCTTCAGATGCTAGTGATAATGAAGTTGATGTTCGCCTTCATCCTAGAGCTGTATGTATATTGCCAGTCACATGTCTGAAGAGTTTTCTAATTGTCCAGCCACAGTATTCTAATTCTTTTTGTTTCACAGGTTGTGGTTGCTAAAGAGGCTGTAGGGAACCTGGGTGGGATGGTTAGGCAGCTATCTTTGGATCAGTTTGAAAATGAGAGCAGAAGGATGATTCCCTTTAACAATGACCTATCCTACCCTACCAAAAAGTTTGCTAGACAGAAGTCTCCTCAAGGCTTGCATAAAAAGGCAAGCATTCCAGAATTTATTTGTTTTCTATTTAGAACTTTTTAAAAGTAGTTTAATATTTATACTTCTTTTGCAGGTTATTTCTACATTGCTTAGGCCCCGAAACTGGAAAGCTCCAGCTAATAGGAGGTTTTTCTTGGATTCTTATGAAGTGGGGGAGCTATGTTATGCTGCTGAACAGATATTTATGCAAGAACCCACAGTCCTTCAGTTGAAGGCTCCGGTAAAAGTCTTTGGAGATCTTCACGGACAGTTTGGTGATTTAATGCGGCTATTCGATGAATATGGGTTTCCTTCAACTGCAGGAGACATTACGTAAGTTTGATAGTCTTCTTGCATATTAGTTAACTCCTTGTCATAGTTGAAACAAGGCCTCTGACTATTACTTCCTATGATATTATTGGTTCTGCAAATTCTTTCCTAAGTTGCTTAATCAATTGTGTTTTATGTTTTAGGTACATTGATTATCTGTTTTTAGGAGATTATGTTGATCGAGGACAGCACAGCTTGGAAACAATAACATTGCTTCTTGCTCTTAAGGCAAGCTTCTGGATTAAATGAGCCTTAATTTACTACGAATACAAACTTGTGCTGTTTCCTAATGGGATTCCATTGTCTTGTTGGTTATGATTGTGCAGATCGAGTATCCTGAAAATGTTCACTTGATTCGTGGAAATCATGAGGCTGCTGATATAAATGCACTCTTTGGTTTTCGTATTGAATGCATTGAGAGAATGGTCCAGATGAGCTTGCATATGTGGATTAATAATTATTTTTCCAGATAAAATGTGCTTATTATTGTTTATTTGTAGGGGGAGAACGATGGTATATGGGCATGGACACGGTTCAATCAACTATTTAACTATCTTCCACTTGCTGCTCTTATTGAAAAGAAAATTATCTGCATGCATGGTGGCATAGGAAGATCTATACATTCAGTTGAACAGATAGAGAAACTTGAGCGACCAATAACAATGGATGCAGGATCCATTATTTTAATGGACCTGTTATGGTATGTATTTTCTGAATCTATTAGACAAATTGAAATAACTCTTTTACGGATTAATTTTGGCTTTTATTTGCCTATTCAGGTCTGATCCAACAGAGAATGATAGCGTTGAAGGTTTGAGACCAAATGCCAGAGGTCCTGGTCTTGTTACTTTTGGGGTATGCATATTATTGCTTTATGTGTAAAATAGTTAATTGGTTGTTATTTGAAATGCATTAAGGCAATCCTTTATATCATGCATTTTGATTAAAATATCAGAAAGAAAGGAAAAAAACAGAAGGAAAAAAACTATGCATTTTAATGGATTTATTATGACATTGCATGTCATGCTAGAAATCTTTTAATTGAAAATCAACACTATTCAAGGGATTCAGAGGAACCTATTCCATGAACTGCTACTTGCAACAAAACTATGGAATAGGTTGATTGTCTTGGTTTGAATTTACTGGATGTTTCAATACTTCTGCAATCATAGACTCACATAATGCATGTTTTAAGTCATGAGCACTTCCTCTAATCGTTTGTGATTGAACTTTTATTATACTTGCAAATGAACGTACAATGTTTTATGTTGCCATATGCAGCCTGATCGTGTAACAGACTTCTGTAAGAAAAACAAGCTACAGCTTATTATAAGGGCCCATGAATGTGTAATGGATGGGTTTGAACGATTTGCTCAAGGTCAATTAATTACTCTTTTTTCTGCAACAAACTATTGTGGTAAGTAGACTACCTTAAGCCACCTCCTGTTGCTGGGAATTTATTGCTGCCTAATCTGGTATATTCATCTAGGTACTGCAAACAATGCTGGAGCAATTTTGGTAGTTGGTAGAGGACTGGTTATAGTCCCAAAGTTAATACATCCCTTGCCACCTCCCATTCAGTCTCCAGAGACATCGCCAGAACGAGTTGCAGATGATGCATGGATGCAGGTCATGTTTCTAAATTTTGATGTATAATGCATACCTGCTTACTCCCTGTTCTCATTTATTATATGTTTCTATTGCACTGCAGGAGCTGAACATCCAAAGACCACCAACACCAACTCGTGGTCGCCCTCAACCTGATCACGATCGGTGCTCACTTGCATATATATGAACATGATGTTAGGAATTCGAGGACTTTTGTAATTTACAAAGCAATGATGCGGGAGTCCCATTTTTATGTGCGAGGGTTGATTCTTACGTATCTTGAATTTCAATTAAGTATATATCAAACCACTCTGTGCATGCATTAGTGCTTGTGTTGTATTTTGAAGATGATGCCAGTAGCACAGCGCAAAAGATGTAGCAGCCTCTCTTTATTGTACACATAGCTTGGGAGTTGTAGATCAATTTTTAACCAGTGACTGTAATATACATATAGTTTATTAGTTCTTCAAAGGGTTGGTATAGCATTTTGTCATTGTGCAATACAGATAAATTATAGTCATTGATGGGGCAACTTGATTTTTCAGTTTGTGCATTGTAACATAACCGGTGATACATCTGTGTTGTATGAAGTAAAAAAAAAATTATAATTTTTTATTTAACTTTGTGCCACTGTTTTACGGTCACTTGGGTTCATAGCAAGAACAAATCTAATATATAGTTAACGTGAGATTCATGACTTTTCTTCAATACCATATCACACTGTCCGTATAAACGATGAAAATAGTATTTATTTATAAGTTTGTCATACATTGAGGAGCTTGGAGTCTTGGACTACCCTGGAACAAGCCTTAGAAGTGTGGGGTAACCACCACAAATATATGGAATTCTATGTCGTCATTCAAAACAAGACCAACATGGGAAAATGAAGACAAACAAAACGAAAATAAGGCCTGAAACCTAAGGAGTTGGGGGGAAAATACGTGAATGAGGGGAAATGACAGAGTGTTGAACATACTTGTTGGAATTGTTGGGATCAGGAACCCATTTAATCTCGCTCATATTAGGTGTCTCCACAAATTCCATGGTGAATTCTCCCACCTTCTCTACCTTGCCTCGCTTGCCTGCTCTCAGCACCAAATTGTTTTTGTTGTACGAGAAAATGCCATTCTCCATCCTAATAATGTCACCTGCCTCAAATGCATCACACTCCTCGCCCCACAGCTGCAAATGAACCGCCGCTGTCTTGTCAGCCACAAGCGCCAAACACATCTTATTTTGACCATCCCTGGTTGGCTTGCCTTTGTCCAACAATATGATCTGCGTGTTTATGTTGTTTTGAGCTGCTGGCACAATGTCTTTGAGGAACACCATCCTTTCCTGTACAACTGCAATTTTATAAGTAACCCAAAAACCTAAGTGAAATAGCTCAACTCATTTAGCCATTCTTACAAACAGCTGGTGGACATTGCTTACCTTTCTCTCAAACCTTCCCACGAAGGATCCGTCTCCTTTGCTTGTTTAAAAGATACGTTAGTAGAAATAGACTGAAAACTAAGGATAATCTTCCAAACCTAAACTTATAATTTTAAATGCAACACGTAGATACCATATGAAAAACCAATTTAAAAAATACACGAAAATAATATCATTTAAAATTAAAAAAAAAATTCTGACAAAAATAAAAAAATATAACATTTAGCATATCATTTAAGAAAAAAAAAAAAACCAAATATCAATACACTAATTTTCAAATCTAATCAAAATACCTAAAAATTATAAGACAAATATCACATTCAATTGTTAGCAAATATCAAACGAGAAATTATATTACTTAACATTGGGTCGCACAAATCAAACACCTTTAAAACTTGCGAATCCATGAAAAAAATTAGTATGGATTTTAGAAACATGAATGAATAAACAGATAGAAACTGCACAAAAAAGCTATAACAAAATTCCATTCTAACAATCCTTTCATTGCTAAGAAAGAGATTTACACATGTAAAACCAAACTTTGATTACATCTATCAACAAAACCCAACCCCTCCCACTAAAATTCCTGTGAAGCGGAACCAATCTCGCCCTCTCCTTTCCCTGCCTTCTTTGGCAGCAGATTCTGATGGATATTAGGCAAAACCCCTCCGTTTGCAATCGTGACACCTCCCAACAGCTTGCTCAGTTCCTCGTCGTTCCTCACAGCCAATTAGATATGCCTTGGGATGATTCTGTTTTTCTTGTTGTCTCTTGCGGCGTTCCCAGCCAATTCCAAAACCTGTAAGATGAGAAAACCCCAAACAGCTTATCAGCTAAATGTCCATACTAAGAATACAAAAGTTTCCCATAAATTATGGAGAAATTACGATTTGACGAACCTCAGCGGCTAGATATTCAAGGACGGCGGAGAGATAAACTGGGGAACCAGATCCAACACGCTCCGCATACCGTCCTTTCTTGAGGAAGCGAGCGACACGGCCAACAGGGAACTGGAGACCAGCTTTGTCAGACCTTGAAACGGCTTTGGCCTTCGGCTTGCCTCGGCCTCCTTTTGTTGGTGCTGCTGCAGAGCTCATGACTTCCAAGAATTTTTTTCTTCAAAGCGAAAAAGAAGGAGAATTTTTAATCTTTGAAATCGCTTTTGGTGGGAGATGCAGGGATGGAGCTTTAGGCTTATATGGAAGGGAGAAGGTGCTTCTGATTGGTTATTTGGGTTTCACGCGGATTCCCAAAGTGGCTTTGTGTTTTGATTGGTGGTTGGGATCGAATTCACTTGGATTAGCAACATGGAAAGCTGTATTTTTTGGTGGGACAGAAATTTTTAGATTAGGCGGGAAGTGAAAACTGAAAACCAAATCAAACTGCAAGGCCAAGAATGGGAGGAACATGAATTATCAAAACTGGAAACTTAAGGCAACTAGTACTACTGTAAAAAACAAAATCCCAAATTTATTTTGGGCAGGCAAATTTGATCCTCCAAGTATATGCAGATGATGAATGATTCATAAAGGCCATGTTTTTCCTCAGAATTAACTGGATGTACAGCTTGGTTGGGAGCAGAATATTCTTACTTCTCTCTCTTACCAAGCAAAGCCATTGACACCATCCACATTATACAGTGAAAATTTTACGCAAGTCTGTACAGCTTCAAAATTACAACAAGAAAACAAAACAAAAACAGGCAGTCCATCTGCCAGTCAAGCTTGTTCATTCTCATGACATAAAGGCTGAACAAGAGAAGGGTGATCCTTAAAACAATCAGAATTCAAAGCAACCACACCTTTGATTTTGAGACTCTTCATGTTAGCTTTAGTTCCATGAGCAATCAACAACAAAGCAACTTGAACGTGCCCTGCCTCCACTGCACAACCCAACGGTGTGTAGCCATTATCATCAAGAAGGTTAACCTGAGCACCATGGTTAAGCAAAACCTTAACACTCTCGATTCGACCTTTAAATGCAGCCCAATGCAAAGGTGTCCATCCATTCTGATCTTTCCCATTCACATTTGCCCCCTCTGCAAGGCAACTCTTTATCCCATTAACATTGTCAATCCTGGCAGCACGGTTCAAAGCATCACCTAAATGCAATAAATCATACAAATTCGAATGCCCATTTTCAACTGCAAGTGCAAAAGCAGTCTTTCCTTGTTTATTCAAAGCATATTTAGCATAACTTGAAGCCTCTAATAAACATTCTACTGCATCTAAATGACCTTCCTGAGCAGCCAAATGAAGTGGAGTACATCTATTAATATCTAAAACTTCAGGATTCCTTCCTACTGATAAACAAAACCGAATCACCTCAGTATAACCGTAACTTGCAGCTATGTGAATTGGAGTTTTACCACAAAAATCAACAGCATTTATGTCCACACTTTTATAAGCTCGAAATAAGATCTCCATCAAATCTACTCTATTTATTGCAGCTGCATAGTGCAAAAGATGATCAACAGAATTATCAATTTCACAACCAGAAGAAATCAGGACATTGACAACATCAAAATTTCCAGCTTCAACAGCCAGGGAGATCAAGGACCTTCCTTTGGAATCCTTATCATTAACATCTCCACCATGATCAATCAGGGTACGAACCAAATTAGCTTTCCCTGAAACGACAGCAGATTTGAGTAACCCTGTGAGGAGATTCCCTGTACACCCAGAAATGGCTTTGTTCAAAAACAGATCAATTTCTGCGACCTGGGTATAGCTAGAAATGAGATGTTCAACCACATGGGGACCCACAAAGGAGATTGGTAAAGTGGCGTCCTTGAATATGTGGGGTCCAGGCTTGGAGAACAGTCGGCGGAGATCATCATGATGGGCCTTGCCTAAAGGGAGCATGGTGGTTTTGACGGTGATGACATCTGGAGGAGTGGTCAGAGGGGGTTGATTAGACAGCTGGAAGAGAAGAAGAGTGTAGGATGAAGATGAGAGTGGAGGGATTATGGAAAAAGGCTTGTTAAAAGAGAAGAAAGCTGGGTTTTGGGTGGTTAAAGAAACTGCCACGGGCATCGTATGCATAAGATTGGTTAAACGGAAAGTAGTGGTGCATTTTTTACCTCTCTGGAAGACTATTTCTACTTCTTTCACATCCGCTTTCACTAACCTGTCCATGGAATAGCCAAATCCAGGTCCAGCCTCTTTCCCTGGAAAGTTTTGAGATTTAGAGTGCTGTTTGATTGCAAAGGAAAATGAAGATATAAGGCAGAAAGATGCTTTTTTTATATTCTTTGTGTACAATTCTATTGCCTAAAGTTGTCTGATTAAGGGGGATTAGTTTAATCATAACTTCTTGGTTTAGGTTTGGGTGGCGTGAAAATGGAGCAGGTAGAGGAAATGCCTTGAAGAGGTACAGGACAGAGAGGCACTTTTTCCTGATAGATGAAAGCTCAACGACCTCGGTTTGAAAATTAGCTCTCTCATAGAATTTTCGTAGTGTGACATTTTCAAGGTGAGACCAGCATTTCTTGTTGAACGAATACGAGTAAGCAGCTGACTGTTATACCTTGTGTTTAATTCTAAAATATATCTTTTTTAACATGATTTTTTTTTCCTTTTTTATGAGGAAGTAATCAGTTGTTAGATGGGATCTTTAAGAAAAAAATGATCCCAACCTGTCCTGTTGGGATGTTGTAATTTCTCTTAACATTCCCCATGAATATGATGCAAGCAGAGATGACCCTGCTGCTTAATTTGATCAGTATTCAGAACACTTGTTCCTGGAAAGATGGGTTAGAAATTTCGTGTAGGATCAAATGACTGTGACTTTGCCCTTCGACGGTTCCATATTGTCTGTGTCTACAACATTTAATTAATGACTTTTTTACTTGTTATGAGCTCATATTGTCGTTTGGGATGGGCAAACTCTTGAATGTTTGTAGCCATAAAACGACATTCCTGTAAGTTTTTTTAGTTTTGGTAATCTATCTTTTCTATTACCATGCTTTTGTTACATTGAATGCTGTTAAATTTCTGTCTTTCTTTTTGTTTGGCTGTTGATGAGAAAAATATTTTTTTTAAACAAGTTGTCCCATACAGGTTTACTTAGAAAGCAACAGGTTCACAACTGTAATGGATTACTCACATATGCATGATTTTTTTTCCTTATAATTTCCTATGAAAATACTGAGAAAATGTAATGTGTAAAGTTTTGCTTAAGGATGAACCTGAAAGTCAGAAAACAAAGTAATGAAATTACAAATAATAGATATTCAAAAGTAATTTATTATTATTATTTTGGGAATGATTCATATGATATTTTTCAAGAGTCTTTCACATTTCTCTTTATCAGAGTACATTATTGTAAACATTCAATTTGATCCAGATCTGGATCAGTTGGGTCTAGTCCAAATGGATGGCTTATTTTATTTTTTATTTTGTATATTTTATTTTTATTTTTATTTTATATTTTTATATTTTTATATTTTTCTTTTTCTTTGTATTTTATGTATTTATTATTTATTTATTATTACTATTTGTTAATATATATTTATTATTTACTTATTTATTTATTTTATTATTATTATTTATATGTTCATATATATATTTATTATTACTTAGCTATTTATATATTATTACATATATGCATTTATTATTATTTATCTATTTATATATTATAATTTATCTATTATTTATTTTAATTTATCTGTTAATATTTTGATTTATCTGATTATTTTCTTTTAATTATCTATTACTATTTTTTATTTGATTTTTATTTTCTTTTTCTTTTTTTTGGCTGAGATTGGATTGGTTTGGGGGAATTTCACCGTGAATTGGGATTCAATCAGAGTTCATATTAGATTCAATAATTGAATCTCAATCCAAAAAGGAGTTGGGATTGATCATAAACTCTTCTGATCAATCCCTATAAATAGATTCACGGATCAAAGGACTGAAACACAGAAAAAGGCAGACATTGGCTAAGAGAGAGTGAACAGAAAAGAAACAGAAGCTAAAAAGGGTTTAGGTGCATTAGAATAGCTCTAGGAATCAGTGAAAAATTTTTGGAGAATTTTTTACGAATTTTTTCTAAAAATTTCTGAAAAATTTTCAGATTTCGGTTGAATTTTTTGGCGAAGGTTGAATTTTTCGGTGACTTTTTCGGTCAAGTTTGAATTTTTGGCCAACTTCCCAGTTTTCGGTAACTATTTTCAGAAACCAATCAGTTTTTAGGTAAACTTCCAACGAAAAACTCAGATTTCGACGAAAATTTCTAGAATCCGACAAGAATTCAATCGGAGTTGTTCGCGGTTTAGAGAGAAGGCAGGGGAAAAGAATTGAAGAGAGAGAGAAAGAAGGTTCGGTCTGTTGAAAAAATGAAAGAATTAGCTTTTTATACCCGCTGAAAACGACGTCGTTTTGGCTTTACTGTGCCCAAATGATCCGCGTGTTATGAAATCGGGTGACCCGACCTAAGCGTCAACCCGCTTTCGACCCGCGTCTCCGAGTCGACGTCCCGAGCCATGTGCCCGAGCCATTTTTCTTCCTCGAGCCGAGCTGAACAGCTAAGCCAAGTCGTTCACAGGTTTTTTATTATTATTATTATTATTAATTAATTAATTAAATTATGATTGTTTAATATTTTTATTTTATTTTTCTTTATTTTTATTTTCTTTATTTTATTTTATTATTTTATTTTCTTTAAATAAAATTCAAAAAAAAAATATTTTTGAGGAAAAGTTGAAAGTATCAATTTTTCTTGAGAATAAGCTTTGTAAAATATATTTTTGAGTAAAAGTTGAAAGTATCAATTTTCCTTAAAAATAAGCTTTCCAAAAATTATTTTTGAGGAAAAGTTGAAAGTATCAATTTTTCCTGTACAAAAGTAATCATTTTTTTCTCTTTCTTTTTTATTTTCTTGAAATTTTTTTGATGTTAAATAATCCGACGATGGAGCCTCTACAAGTAAAACAATAGTTTTCTTGCATACTCTTGAGGTGAGGGAATTTTCTCAATTTTTTACTAAAAGTATTAGAATCAATTGGGAATAATTTTTAATAATTAATTACTTGATAAAATTTTAAGACTTATTGGATAACATAAAATTAAGCTGGTATCATCTTTTGATGAGCGTTGTAAGGGTGCTATAACCTTTCTCACACGTAACCGAACTCCCGAACCCTGTTCTGGTTAGTAGACCTGAACCTATTTTTTTAAGGACCCTTAAACTTAGGTGTTCCCTAAAAGATAGATTCCTTAGGTGGCCAATCGCACCTAGATAAAAAAAGATTAGTGACGACTCCTTAAGTCAATGTCTAGCGATAGATCTCCGGATCTAGACGTTATGACAGCTTGGCGACTCCGCTGGGGACACTGAGAGTCAAGCCAACAAATAAATTTGCGTTATCCAAAAGCCTAATAAAATTGAACATTTTTGTATATATATTTTATTTATTCATTCATGTTTATTTACTTTATTAATTATATCATTCATATGCATATGCATAACATGAGCTCTATACCCGAGCTTCGTCCCTCTATAAGGGAGTAAAGTACCTATTGCTTTCGTGAGGTCTAATGCCTCTGCAGTGGCTAACAAAATACTCTCACTCAAATTGAACCCTTTTCGCTTGTAGCCTGTAATGGATGAGGATTAGGGTGTTTTACTAGTCTATGATGGACAATGATGTAAGGAGCAATTTGAGAACCTTTAAACTTTAACCTTAAACCACATATAGTGAACCTTAAGAGTGCCTAACCCATAGATAGATCTATCACTCTTCCCTTTTAGAATTGACCAAAAGCATAGGATTCATTCCTCTTATTTTTTGTGATGTTTTAATTTACTTAGTTATTTATTTATTTCTTTTTTTCGGGCATACTAACATTTTCTCTCATTCTTTGGCATTGGTTCATGTTCATATCATAAAGTTGCATAAAGAACATTTGCTTGAAAGATGGTCTTCAACAAAAATTTTTCATGAACTTCACAGAATAACTAGTCTATTTTTCATCTGTATTAGCACTTTGTGAGACACCTAACGAAGTAAAAATTTAGTCAGAAAAGATTCAACTGAAGATGGGAGATTGTTTACCAATTGGATATAATTTTACCTTATCTCAAGAAACATCTATCCTCCCCAAATAGGATAATCTAGAAGATTTGGTTGATATATGGAAGAGGAAAAATTCGTCAAGACAAGAGCAGTTTTGTCAGAGACATGAGCATATAGCACACCTTCTAGCAGTAGTTATCGATGATCAACTAATCAAAGCTATAGCATAATTTTGGGATCATGCATACAAGTGTTTCATCTTCAATGAAGTTGATATGACTCCAACCATTGAAGAGTATTCAATTTTATTAGGTTTACAACTCAAGGCTCCTGATAAGATAAATGTCAAGAAACACAAGTCAAGATTTCATAAGGGTTTGGCTCAACTCATGGGGATAGACAAAAAGGTTGTGGATTCTCATACAAAGAAGAAACAAGAACAGGTTTGCTTACCTTGAAAGTTTTTTCATGAATTTCTAGTGCAACATGCTAACGAAGAACGAGGGTTAGATATATTTGCCTTAGCCATATAGGAATGGTGATCTTTCCAAAGGTTTTGGGTTATATTGAGATAGCAATCGTTGACTTCTTCAAGAGTGTGATCAATGGCTATAACCCTTCAACGGTAATATTAGTAGAGACTATCAGATCTTTGAGTTACTATCGTCGGAATGGAGGGCGCTTTATAGGCTGTATGCAGTTGTTATACTTACGGATTAAAAGCCATTTCGAATGGGGAAATGGTGTTTTCTCGAACCTTTATATCCGTAATTGAGCTTCGATCAAAGAATTATATGAAAGTGGGTGGTCAGAATGAAAGTCTAAAAAGGAATGGATAACTTTCTTACAAAAGTTGATCAGTGTCGATGTAAGATGGTTAACCCCATGGATGAATCGTGAACCTATGTTGTATCAATGTGGGGATAATACATGGTCCCACTTTTGGGTTTATGGGGAGCAACAAATTATACACCACTTATAGTGAAAAGGTAGTTTAGGGCAGAACAGTTCATTCCTATGACTTATGGGCTTCATCAGTTATATTTTTCTTACAGTGAGCCAAAAGTATTTCAGAAGATGAATGAGATGATTAAAGCATGAAAAAACCCTCGAAGAGTGAGTCCTGGATCATTTGCTGATAAAATCACTCCAGGGTATTTGGTTTGGAAAGCAAAATGAAGATAAAAAATGGTATTCATTTATGAAAGCTTTCAACTGCCAACAGAAAAAAAACTTGAAGAGACACCATCAGAATTAGAGCTTGCAACAAAAGAATTTGAGTCTGAAAAGGGTAAGTTAAAGCAAAAAATCCAGAAGCTTCAAGAAGAAAAAGACCAGTGAAAGATAGAGCTAAAAGTCATGAAGCTAAAGTTCGCAAGATTGCTAGAGAACATGATACAGCTGTTGAAGATTTAACAGAGCTACACTAAGAGCATAAAAGGTTATGTGTGAGAGAAAGGGCCAAAGAGATAACCATTGTTGAGCTGACTGAGAAGAATGCAAGATTGAAGCAAGAGAATGCTGAATTAGAAGAAAAAAGTACTCAAGTACAAACATAGAATAACATGCTAAACAGTTATCTGAGCAGGCTAAGATAAAAGTTGAATGAATAAGAAGGTTACATTGCTGCATTGGTTAGGGAGCATAGAGAGTTATCATACCAAGTTTGGTGTGATGAAAGAGAGAACTTAGGAAGACAAAAATACATTGAGCACCTAATGACCCAAATTTATAAAGAGGTATGCAAGGCAAGAGAGATGATGGAGGAAGCAAAGGCATTGAAACAAGTGGTGGCCCCAATAGGAGAACATGGATAGCGTCTGTTGAACTT